AGACCTGTCACTAAGGCCCCTTCTTTTCTTCATCTGCAAGTGCTGGTGTTCTTTGTCCTGAAACTGAGACCCAGAACTAAATATGGACAATGCAACAGAGTCCTGAACACAGAGCCAGCAAAAGATCCCTTGTAATCTCTTTATGATTAGTTGTCCAATCCCCTTCTGTCTATGGGCTTAGAGGTCCCACAGTTTCTGCTGCTGCTAATGTAGCCACTTCTAAGGCCTGCTGCTGGAATTGCCAAATTGAGCTTGTGATGCGATCTAGACCTGACTACCACCCTGGTGTGAAATACCTTTCATCTTGACATCTCAAGTTGTCTTGGGCTAGAAAATTGTTTGATCCTGATTTTTTTTGTTGGTTTTGCTACTCCAGAATTTGATTTGGGGCATTATTTTAATATTGTTGGAAGGGGATTTGGGAGAGATCAGGAATTCCTGCTTCTACTCAACCATCTTGGTATGACAAGTACATTTAATTTTTTTTTCTCCTGTACTAGAAAGTGTTAGGTTTGGGAATGTACACTAGCATTCATACTTATCTATACACAATACATTCTTTTTTTTTTTGGCTAGGCAATGGGGTTAAGTGACTTGCCCAGGGTCACACAGCTAGTAAGTGTTATGTGTCTGAGGCCGGATTTGAACTCAGGTCCTCCTGAATCCAGGGCCAGTGCTCTATCCACTGTGCCACCTAGCTGCCCCCACAATACATTCTTAGGCTGCCTTCTTTGCAACGTTTACCATGCCAGATTAAGTTGGTGCTAAAAGAATGCTAATAAAGCACAATCTGACACATGGTGAACTGAGAGGCATCATGATGTTTAAAGAACATGATATCTCTTTTAAGTAGCAGTGTTTCTGAACTATCATCTGAGAATCCTCCTGTGCTGTATTTGTGCATTCTTCTTTGTTCTGGACAGAACTGACATGCCAGCATTTCAACTCCTTTCTTCTATATCTAGTAATTTTTTTTTGCCTTTTCTGGAGCAAAATGATAATAGCTTACAGTTATATAGTACTTTATGGCTACAGAATGTATTATGCCATTATTTCATTTGCTGTTCACAAAAACCCCAATGAGGGAAGCAAGGCATATATCATCATCTGGATTTTTTTCAATAAAGAATACTTAGGTTCAGTCAGATTAAATGATTTATCCAGGATTTCAGAACTAGTGGTCTTCTATCTCTAAGACTATTATTCTTACTTCTCTACTATACTGCATCTCAATTATAATGAATCTGTCATTACGTAAGACACTGTAGAAGTGATATAGAAAACTTAAAAGTCAAAAGATTAGTCAATCACGTTATCACAAAATTTTACCCATGTCAACTCAGTCAATATTATTATTATTATTGTTATTATTATTATTAAATAGCTACTATATGTCGGGCACTACCCTAAGCACTGGGGATAAAAAGAGGTTAAGGACAGTCCCTGCTCTCAGGGAATTTATAGTCTAATGGGGGAGACCACAAGCAAACAAAATAACTATATACAGGATAAATAAGAAGTAATTAACAGAGGAAAGGCACAAGCATTAAAAAGAGTTGAGGAAGGTGTCCTGTAGAAAGTAAGATTTTAGTTGGAGGTCAGTAGTCAGAGAAGAGGAGGAAGAACATCCCTTTTGTGGAAAATAGCCAGAGAGTGTCTTGTTCATGAAACAACTAGGTCAGTGTTACTAGATTGAAGGGTGCATGATAGTGAGTAAACATAAGAAGACCGGAAAGCTACTAAGGGCTTAGGTTATGAAAGACTTTGTGTGCCAAGCAGAGGATTTTTATTTGATTCTGGAAGTGATAGGGAGCCACTGGAGTTTATTGAATGGGGGTGGTGGTGATGTGGTTTGGTCTGCTCTTTAGGAAAATCACTTTGGAGTGGGGAGGGACATACAGTATGCAGACCCACCAGCAGGCTGTGGCAGGGGTAGGGAACTTGCAGCCTCAAGGCCACATGTGGCCCTCTAGGTCCTCAAATGTGGCCCTTTGACTAAATCCAAACTTCACAGAACAAATCCCTTTTATTAAAGGGATTAACACTTGGACTCAGTCAAAAGGACACACCCAAGGACATAGAAGGCCACATGTGGCCTCAAGGCTGTAAATTCCCCACCCCTGGGCTATTGTAATAGTCTAGACTTGACATAAAGGTGGCCTGTACTAAAGTAGTAATGTCAGAGGAGAGAAGGCAGAATATTTGAGAAATGTTAGAGGTGAAACTGACAGGACATGGGAGCAGATTGTATATAGGGAGTGAGAGATAGTGAAAAGTCAAAGATGGCATATTGATTGTGAGCCTAAGAGACTGGGAGGATGGAGTTATCTTCTATAGTAACAGGGAAGGTAGGAGGTGGAAAGGCTTTCTAAGAAAAGATAATGAGTTCAGTTTTGGACATGTTGAGTTTAAGATTTCTGCTGGACATCCAATTTGAGATGTCTGAAAGGGAGTTGGAGAAACAAGATTGGAGGTCAGGAGAGAGGTTGATGCAGAATGGGTAGATTTGAGAATTATTAGCATAGAGATGGTAATGTGAGCTGATGAGATCACTAAGTAAAGTAGTATAGAAGGAGAAGAGAAAGAGTCCAGGATGTAATCCCCTGGGACATCTAGGGTTAAGAATGTGATCTGGATCATGAGCTAGCAAATGATACTGAGAAGGAGTGATCAGATGGGTAGGAGGAGAACCAGGAGAGGGTTGTGCCCTAAAAACCTGAAGAGAAGAGAATATCAAAGTAGAAAGCATCAAAGAAAATGAGAATTGAGGAAAGGTCATAGGATTTGGTAGTTTGGATATCATTAGCAATTTTGGAGAGAAGTTTCAGTGAAATGATGAAGTTGGATGCTGGATTATAAGTGGTCAAGAAGAGAGGGGGGATTCCAGTTATTTAATCACTCACAATAGCTGTCTATAATTTATTCATAATCTCATGTAACTACCCAACCATTTTCTTACTCCTACATTTTCAGTACCTGCCATCTTTTTAAATTTTTTCTTTGCTATCCATTGTCAAGCATTCCCAATCATCTTCCTCTTCTATTAAAATAGATGTACCTAAATAATTAATCAACAAACAATTGTTAAATGCTTATTATATGCCAGATACTGTGAAGTGCTTACTATATGCCAGACATTGGGGAGAGTAATACAGGCATCTGAAGGAAATGTTTACGTAATTTTGGGGAGAGAGGTGGTCATGATACATGGAGCACAGGAAAGTATGACTCAAGATGAGAAGCCAAGTTTGTATGTATGAAACAAGTGGTGGTGTGGAGATATATTTTGGGAAATACTTTTGTGCGATTGATGAAGGAAGTATATACTCCATTGCAACTGGGTTGTGAACAATATCTGGCTCCAACTCCCTATCTAGAATTATTTCATGTCTCCTTTCAAATTCTCTACATTTCAGGAAAACTAGATGGTGAGATGTTCTGAGAAATCAGCATTTCATTTCCCTACCTTTGTGTCTTTTTACAAGCTGTATCCTGGGGTGTTTTGGTTTTTCTTTGTATCCCCATGGCTAAGCATAGTACCTGGCACTAAGAAATTTTAGTGGATTCCTTCTCATTCAAAAAAATATAACAATATCAAATTAGATAACATTTGTAAAGTACTTAGTTTAAGTCTTGACACACAGTAAGCACTTGATGAATGCTAATTACCTTTTCTGCTTCATTCCTTCCTTCCTCTTATCAGTCTCTACTTTCTGTTCACACTACCTTTGTCAGTGATTTTGTTTCAGTTCCTTCATGCTCAGACCTTTCTAATTGTATACACACACACACACACACACACACATACAAACACATACATGTGTGTGCACACACACACACTCTTTCTCTCTCTCTCTCACACACATGAACACACACACACATTCACATCACATATTTCTTGCCAAGGGGAAACCAACTTCCATGCCAACAGGTGTTTTTGCAGGTTTGCCTGGAACTTCCAATCTATAAATTTTGAGTGGTCTCTAAATTGGCCAACCTGCCTCCTCTTGTCCCTAATAATAAGTCCTCTCTAATATCATGTACAAAGCAGTGGATACCCCCAGAATAAATACTGCAAAAATAAACTCATCTATTTCTAGCCAGGCTGAGCAAAGCTTTGCAATGCGTGTCTGTGACTGATTGTCGGCACTGTTCCAAGGCTAGGACTCCTCGGCTCTCTCATCAATGCACTATTATAATTCCCAATTCTCTCCCAAACTCAGTAACCATAGTTTCCTGTCATTATCACAATAGAAAGCAATCATCATTACTTGGGATATTGCCCTTAAGTTGCCTAGGTATACTGGTATGGCAAAGGGCATTTGCCCTGCAGGCTATCATTGTAGTCTCAAGGACACATTTGTGGGCCCCAGGATACTTCTCTGCTCTGCCCTTCCCCATTTGACAATTTCTTGAGTGATATAACTCTTGTCCATCTGAAAAAGGGATTTTTACACACAGCAAACAGAAGCAGATGAAGCAGTCTATGAGGAGCATTCTCTCATGGATTTCAGCTGAGTAATAGGTTCCTGCAGTTGGAAATGATCCTTCCATCCTCACAAAGCTGTTTTGGTTTGGTTCCTTCCCAAGTACCTCTCTGGACATCATATATTAAAGAAGCCAGAACTAACTTCCCTTCTAATTTTAAATCCTACAATCCTATGATATTTTTAAAAATAAATTAGACACTTCTTTGTGCCCTATCTACAGTAACAACTAGCATTTTGTAAAACATTTTACATGTATTATCCCATTTGAGCCTCACGTCAACCATATGAGATAGACACTATTAAGATTCATGTTTCTCATAGATGAAGAAACTGAGGTTATGAGTGATGGCCTACCCAGGGTCAAAAAGCTAGTATCTAAGGGGGGGATTTGAACTTAGTATTTCCTGACTCTGTCTAGCACTCCATTCACTATCAGACCAAGTTATCTACCCTAACCTATACTTAATTGTAAATCTATAAGGCAGAAACTCTTTTTTTTTCTTTTTTCAGGTTTCGCAGTGGATAGAAGACTAGACCTAAAATCAGAAAGACCTAAGGTAACAACTAGCCTTGGATACCTACTAGCTGTGTGGCTAGGAGTCCCTTTTACTCTCAGGCCCTCTCCTCTTTCTAAAATAGTGATAACAATAGCACCTCCCTTCCAGAATTATTGTGAGAATCAAATGAGATATTTAGAAAGTGTTTAACACAGCCTGCTAGCACATAGTAGGTGCTATACAAATGTTAGCTGTTATTTTATTATTATTTTATTATTACTATCTCATCTAATCTATATTCCAGAGGTTTAATATTCTGCACATAGTAGGCATTTAACAGCCACAACAAATAATACTGAATTGAATCTAATTCCCTCATAATCCTCTGGAATGAAATAGTTATGAAGATAGCCTTTTCCTTTTCCCTGTAGGTGGCCCCTCACAGTAGGAGTGTCTTGGACTAGACTTTGAAATGTAAGTCAGATTTGGGGGTGGGATGGGAATGAGACAAACCCAACTCCTTGGTCTAGGAAATCTTCCAGAAATAAAGGTTATTTTAAAAAACTGACGGGCACAGTTTTCCTTCCTGCAGTTGAGAAGAGTAAGGCACAGGACTGAGTTCCCTGAAAATAATGACTGCGTGGGCACTCTAACTCTATTATTTCTAATGGCCCAGAGCCTGACCAGACTGCTGTAATGTATCAATACTTCAGAGAAACAAGGAAACATTTTTAGATTTCATTTACTTAATGGCTTACAGATTAATTGAGTTCCATACAGACCTGTATGTTGGACAGTTTCCCTTAAAATATAGTTTCATTTTCTCCCAACAGTGATTTCTAAAGCAGCTATTTCCAAAAGAAAGATGTAATTTTCTGCATCCTTAAACCTAAGCCAAGGTGTCATATGAAATGCATTCTCTAACTCAAATGTAAATAAAAATTAAGATTTCCAACATTCCACTGCTCTCCCAAAAAGACCCATGTGCCAGCCTATTGAACTCTGCAGATACAAGACAGACAATTCTTTTCCAACCACCTTTGAAAGACAAGAGAAAAATGAAAAAAAAAAGACAGTTTTTGCAGGAATGGCAATGGAATTTCCCTTTGGCTTTTGAACTAATGGATCTTGAATCTTTGAGATAAGGTCTTATATGTAACAGTTAAAAGATTACAGACTTAATTTTAGGTTGTAGACAGGCAGTGGATGGCCTTCACTTATTCATGGGTATTCTGGTAATAGTGGCGGGAAATCTATGGAACTGAATTAAACCTTTACTTACTGAGTCTCTCCTTTGTGCTCTGAACTGGGGTTAGATGTTATGGGAATTTTTAAAAAGTATTATAAAATATTATCCCTGGCCTCAAGGAGATTATGCCCAAAATGGATGAGACATTAAATAAAAATGTATATAGGCAACTAAGAGATAAGACTTCAGAATCAAAATGAGTAATAAAAATGAGAAATGATTGAGAGAAGATACCAATATGAACTAGAAGACCATAGGAAAGCTTCAAGAAGGAAGTAGAATTTGACATTGAACTTGAAGATATCATCAGTAAGTGAAAGTAAACTGAGACATATTAAGAAAAAGAAGGAATATCAAGGCAGGTCTTTAGGGCCCTAGCATAGAGAAAACAAATTCCACTGTTCTTTTTTTTTCTTTTGAAGCAAATTTTTTATTTTTTGTGCTTTTTTTTTGCATCATGGCTAACATGGAAGTGTTTTGCATGATTTCATATGTATAATTCATATCACATTGCATGTCATCTCAATGGTTGGGGGTGTCACAGGAGGGAAGGAAAGAATCCAGAACTTTGAATTTTTAAAAATGTATTATAAAAATAAATAAATAAATAAATAATGTTTAATTTAAAGAAATAAAAAATTCTACATTCTGCGGGAGGTTTTGTCCAACTCTTTTTAATTGAAATGCTTTCCTTCTGTAGATTATTTCCTATTTTTTCTGTATATAGCTTGCTTTTCATGTATTCATTTGCATCTTGTCTCCCCTATTATATTGTAACCTTCTTGAGGTCAGTAATTGCCTTTTGCCATTTAACACTGTGATTCACACTCACTAGGTTCTTTTTTTTTTGCATGAAACATATGTGTTATATTGTGTAATATCAACATATTTTTATCTTTTAATAACACAAATATACACAATTTCTTTTTTAAAGTTAAAATAAGTAAAACATTAGTTTTCAAAAAACTCCAAAAGCTAGCAGGCAACACACAAAGGCTGGTATTTTTAATTAACATTTACCTACATATAGCCTATGACCAAATATTTAACCCTAATTTTATAAAAAAAACAAACCATAAAAGAAAAAGAAAAAAATCATACTTCTTCTCTGGTATGAAGGGAGGGCCAAAAACTTTTACGTGGATTTTCCAGATTGAGGGGGAGCCAAGGTCCTAATTCCTACAATGTGGAAGGGATAACTGTAGTAATTGTGTAGATGTCTTATTCCTTCTACTTTGATCTCCAGAGAGACAAGGGCCATATCTGACTTATTTTTGAATCTCCTCTGGCATCTAGCACAGTGTTCTGCACACACGTTCTTTAGTGTTTCAAGAATCTGTATTCTGTTTCTGAACATTCCATACACTAACAAAGACCACAGCTCCTCCATGCCTAGTAGACAGTCTTCATCAGTTCATAAGATCATGGACTTTGACCTAGAAGGTACTTTAAAGGTCATCTTATCCAACTTCTTCATTTCATAAATGAGGAAATAGGTCTGGAAAGATCATGACTTGCCCAAGGTCACATAGAGCTCCTAGCTGGTGCAGCAAAGAGTGTGCTAAGCTTTAAAACAGGAAGAGCTGAGTATGAATCCTCCATCAGACCCTGGCAGGGGTATGCTGGTAAATGTTGGGAAAAAATGTTCTCACAATCCACTTTTTTTTCAACATTTACTTCAGCAAGATTTTGAGTTCCAAATTTTCACCCCATCTCACTCCTCCCCCACGCCAAGATGGCATGCATTCTAGTCTGCCCTCTCTCCCCCTCTTCTCTTATGCCCTTCCCCTTCTGCTTTCCTGTAGGTCAGGATAGATTTCTGTATACCATTTCCTGTATTTCTTATTTCCCAGTTGCATGTGAAAACATTTCTTTCTAAATATGTGTTTTTAAAACTTTGGGTTCCAAATTTTCTCCCTTCTTCCATCCCCACCCACCCTCACTGAAAAGGCAAACAACTCAATATAGGTTGTACATGTGCAGTCATGCAAAACACTTCCATGGTAGTCATGCTGAGAAAAACTAACTCTGTTTCCCTTGATCCTATCCTGCCCCCTCCATTTATTCTATTTTTTCTTTTGACCCTGGCCTTCCTCAGAAGTGTTTTCTTCTGATTATCCCCTTTCCCAATCTGCCTTCCCCTCTATCATTGCCCTGCTGTCTTGTGACCTTCTCCCCCTATTTTCCTGAAGGATAAGACAGCTTTCCATACCCAATTGAGTGTGTATGTTATTCCCTCTTTAAGCCAAATCATATGAGAATAAGATTCACTCATTCCCTCTCACCTTCCCCCATTTCCCTTCCACTGTAAGAGCCTTTTCTTTTCTGTTTTTTTTTGTCAGATAATTTACCCCATTCTTACCTCTCCCTTTCTCCTTCTCCCAGTATAATCCTCTCTCATCCCTTATTTTTATTCTCTATATATGACCCTTTTATCTTCAACTCACCCTGTGCCCTCTATCTATCTATCTATCTATCTATCTATCTATCTATCTATCTATCTATCTATACATATACATATAATTTTTTCCCTCTAACTACCCTTATACTGACAAATGTCTCATGAGTTATAAATATCATCTTTCCATGCAGGAATGTAAACACTTCAACTTTAATAAGTCTCTTATAGTTTCTCTTTTCTGTTTACCTCTTCATGTTTCATTTGAATCTTGTATGTGAAAATCGAATTTTCTATTCAGTTCTGTTTTTTTCATCAAGAATGCTTGAAAGTCCTCTATTTCACTGAATGACCATTTTTCCCCCTGAAGGATTATACTCAGTTTTGCTGGGTAGGTGATTCTTGGCTGTAATCCTATTCTTTGCCCTCTGGAATATTTTATTCCATGCCTTCTGATCCTTTAATGTAGAAGCTGCTAAATCTTGTGTTATCCTGATTGTGTTTCCACAATACTTGAATTGTTTCTTTCTGTCAGCTTGTAATATTTTCTCCTTGACCTGGGAACTCTGGAATTTGGCTACAATATTCCTAGGAGTTTTCCTTTGGGGATCTCTTTCAGGAGGAGATTGGTGGATTCTTTCCATTTCTACTTTGCCTTCTGGTTCTAAAATATCAGGGCAGTTTTCCTTGATAATTTCTTGAAAGATGATGTCTAGGCTCTTTTTTTGATCATGGCTTTCAGATAGTCCAATAATTTTTAAATTCTCTCTCCTGGATCTATTTTCCAGGTCAGTTGTTTTTCCAATGAGATATTTCACATTGTTTTCTAATTTTTCATTCTTTTGGATTTGTTTTACAGTATCTTGATTTCTCATAAAGTCACTAGCTTCCAATTGCTCTATTCTAATTTTTAAAGAAGTATTTTCTTCAGTAATCTTTTGGACTTCCTTTTCCATTTGGCCAATTTTGCTTTTTAGAGCATTTCCCATTTGGTCAATTTTGCTTTTTAGGGCATTCTTTTCCTCATTGGCTTTTTGGACTTCTTTTGCCATTTGGGTTAGGCTATTTTTTTAAGGTGTCATTTTCTTCAGTATTTTGTTTTTGGGTCTCCTTTAGCATCACTCTCTGTTTTTCCTCTACTTCTCTTACTTGCTTCTCAAAATCCTTTTTGAGCTCTTCCAAGGCCTAGGAACAATTCATATTTTTCTTGGAGGCTTTAGATGTAGGAGCTTTGGCTTCATTGTCTTCTTCTGGTTGTGTGTTTTGATCTTCTTTGTCACCAAAGTAAGATAATATAGTCTGACTCTTTTTGCACTGCTTGCTCATGATGCTGGCCAATTACCTGAGTTACAAACTCTTTGTTAAGGTAGGAGTCTGTTTCCAGTGTGGAGAATGTACTGTCCC